CCCACTCTAACCGCTAGACCCCGCTCCCCTCCCAGAACCAGGAGAGAACCCAGGAGTCCTGGCTCCCAGCCCCCCTGCTCTGACCCACCAGGCCCCACTCCCCTCCCCGAGCCGGGGAGAGAACCCAGGAGTCCTGGCTCCCAGCCACCCCCTGCTCTAACCACTACACCCTGCTCCCGTACCCGAGCTGGGAACAAAACCAAGGACTCCGGGCTCTGTGTCCCCTGCTCTCTGGAAGGAAGTGCCTCGGCAGTGCAGCCTCTTGGCACTAGAGGGCGCTGGGCTCCGTCTCACTTGGCTTCTTGGCTCCAGCCCGGGGGGAAGGAGCCCAGCTGAGTGGCCGGGCCGGCTAGCTGACCTTCCCGTAGTCAATGACCGGCGACTCGATGCCCGGGAAGAGGTCCTGGACAATGCCGTTGAAGAGGGGCACGTCGACTGAGGCGAGCTTGGCAATATTCATGTCCTTCATGGCCATCAGGAGGATCTGAAAGCCACCAGGAGAGCCAGGTGAGCCGGGCACCCTCGGGTGCCGGGGATCCGGCTGGCACACTGACTGCGTCGCTCCACACGGCCAAACCGCCGGCAAAACTCCCCTGCAGCCCGACACCACCTGGCACGGACGCAGGATCCCGGGGGCACCTCACCTCTTCGTCGGTGATGTCGGGGTGCACCCTGCGCTTCTTCCCGGCGTAGCGGAGCAGTGACGTCAGCGCCCGCAGGCCGAAGTCGTAGTGGTCCTGCTTGGACAGCTGCTGCACTGCCAGCGAGTACAGGGTGTAGACCTTCTTAGCCAGGAGCTGGGACAGAGCGGAGCCCGTCAGCGGGGGGCGAGGCAGCCCGGGGCACACTGGCTCCATTTCGGGGGGCCGGGGCACCAGGCTTCGGAGGGGGCATCTCGCTAAGAGCCCTGGGAACCCCCACCTCACCCCAGGCTGCCGTCCCCTGACCCTCTTCTAACAACCACGGCTCCAACCTGGGGCCATACCAGAGCCAGCACCCCCAAGAGCAGAAACCCCCTCACCCTGGCCAGCCGGTCCCCCAATCTTGGGGCCAGATGGGAGCCCGTGCCACGCACACGGGAAAGGCCCCATGTCCCATTCTCTGAGCCCGCCAGTCCCCCCAGTCTGGGGCCAGATGGGAACCCGTGCCACTCAGACAGGAAAGGCCCCAAGTCCCATTCTCTGAGCCAGCCAGTCCCCCCAGTCTGGGGCCGGATGGGAATCCGTGCCACCCAGATGGGAAAGGCCCCATGCCACCCAGACGGGAAAGGCCCCATGTCCCATTCTCTGAGCCCAGCAGGGACTGAACCACTGACCAGGCCACGAGCGCTCCCGAGGGCGACTCTCTGAGACCCGGCGGCCCCAGGCCCGCGAGTACCTTACAGTTGCTGAACCCTTCTCCGAAGAGGATGATCTCTGCGATGAGCGTGGAGTCCGGCACCACCATGGAGATGGGGCGGAACATGGACTTGAGGTTGTCGGGCAGCTCTGTGCGTCCGGCGTAACCTGCCCCATGGCACCCAGCAGCACGTTAGCCCTGGCCACCTGCCATCTCTGCCCCGCTCCCTTTACCCCGTCCCCAGGCCTGGGACTCTGAGCCGAGGCCCCTGCATAGGGACGGGCTGGTCTTGTGTTGTTCCCTAGTGGCCGTATGGTGCCCATCTGAACTCTGAATGGGGAGGGGGCCTGCCACGCCCGAGCCAGCGACTCCGCCAGCAAGAGAGACCTTTCCGTGGGCACACCCGTGTCTCCTACCTGGGTTCATGGTGATGAAGATGCCACAGGACCACACCAGCTTGATCTTATGGCCCTCAAAGATGAAGGAGGTCATGTTGGCGGCCAAGGCAGAGAGAATGGAGAGGATCTGCTGGGCCACCACAGACAACACCTCAATGTTGATGCGGTTGAACTCGTCAAAGCAGCCCCAGGCTCCTGTCTGCGGGACGAGAGCAGAAAGGTGGGGGTGAGGGCTGCAACGGGCAGGTTCCCCCATTCACACACTGCCCCACACCCATCCACCTCACCCTGCCCCGGAGAGGGAGTGGTGTCTAAGAGTTAGAACATGGGGGGCCAGCAGCCAGGGCTCCTGGGTTCTGTCCCCAGCTCTGGGAGGGGAGTGGGTCTGGGAGTCCCAGCCCTGGGAAGCACCCATGGGCTCTGGAGCCAGTGCAGTGGCCTGACCCCTTACCTGAGCCAGGCCCGAGTACATGCGCCCCATGGATTTATAGTCCAGGCCTTCGGAGCAGTTCACTACAATCACATACATGCCCAGGGCCTTCCCCAGGTCTTTCACAGTCTCCGTTTTCCCTGTGCCGGCAGGGCCTTTGGGAGACCCTCCCCGGTGGAGGTGGAGGGCTGTGGTCAGAGTGATGTAGCACCTGGAAAGAGAGAGGGGAGATCACACATCAATCTCCCTGCTTTCCCCAGCCCGCCCCCAGGCCATCCGCCCCTGGGATCTCCTCTCTCCCTCACTCTCATGTCCACTCTGCTCTTCTCCTGCCCATCCAGCCCCTCTGCCTCGGGAAACAGACCTCAGCTGAAGCCATCATGAAGCCAAAAAGGGGGGAGGGATAGCTCAGTGGTTGGAGCATTGGCCTGCTAAACCCAGGGTTGTGAGTTCAATCCTTGAGGGGGCCATTTAGGGACCTGGGGCAAAAATCTGTCTGAGGATTGGTCCTGCTTTGAGCAGGGGGTTGAACTAGATACCTCCTGAGGTCCCTTCCAACCCTGATATTCTATGATAAGCTCAGCAGTTAGTCCCTAGCTCTCCTGTGGCACTTTCTTCAGGAGATCTCAAAGCACGCGGCCTCATCAGCTTCACTGTCAGGGATCAAGCAATCACCTTAACTTAGCCAACGAGCTCTAGGTGCCTCTTGTGATCTCCCTGAACTCCCAGCACGCCCTGGGGGGCTGCCGACCGCCCCGGAGCGGCAGGGGCTGGGCACACCGTGCCTGTACCTGTCGGTGAGTGGCGTGATGACCAAGCGTCCGGAGTTCCCCAGGTACTCGTAGCCGTAAGGGAACTGGGTGTTGGTTTGCCTGATGACACAGTCGTCCAGATCCTGCCGAGGGAAATGGGGGGAAGTAGAGCCAGGCCTCTGGACTCCCCCACCTGCCCATGGGGCTCCCGTGACAGAGGGCAAGCAGGCACCAAGGGAGAGACTCATCAGACTGCAGAGAGGACGGCTGTGCAGGTCCCGGGGGAATCCATCCGGCAGCCCATGAGGTCAGGTTCATCCCCTCTCCTGCCGTACCCGGGCACTCTGCAGACACAAACCCGTTAGCCCTCTGACCGCCCCCACCCGGGGAGGTGGGTCATATCGCTGGGGAGAAAAGGAGGCACAGCTGGAAAAGGGGCTTGGCCGAGGCCAGGTGGAGGTGGAGCTGCGGAGTTCCCAGCTCCACATCCCGTGCTGAGCCCACTGGGCCGCGCTGCCACCTCAAAGGAGAGATGAAAAGCAGGGAGCAGGGTTGGGGGAGCACCGGACATGGCGGAGAGCTCCGCAGGGACCCGGACTTGGGCAGTGCTAGTCCCGGGGACTCTGTCTCAAGCGATGGAGCTCCCACCAGGTACTCCCTGGTGAAGGAAAAGGCCCAAGTAGGGACCATCGAATTGTGGAGGTAAATGCGTGGTTATGCAGGTGGTGTCGGAGAGAGGGCTTTGGATTCTTCGACCACGGGATGTTGTTCCGGGAAGAAGGATTGCTAGGAAGAGATGGGATCCACCTACCGAAGAGAGGGAAGAGCATCTTCGCAGGCAGGCTGGCTAACCTCGTGAGGAGGGCTTTAAACTAGGGTCACCGGGGATGGTGACCTAAGCCTGGAGGGAAGTGGGATATCAGGAGGAAACGCAAGGAGGAGGGTGCAACAAGGGAGGCCTCCTGATTCATACCGAGAAAGCAGGGCAATTGGCTAGTTAGCTTAGGTGCCTGTACACGAACGCACGAGGCCTGGGAAACAAGCAGGAAGAATTGGACGTCCTGGCACAGTCAAGGAGCTATGATGTGACTGGAAGAACAGACTTGGTGGGGTAACTCACATGACTGGAGCACTGTCATGGATGGGTAGAAACTGTTCAGGAAGGACAGGTGGGGGAGAAAAGGTGGAGGAGTTGCACTGTATGATTGCTCAGAGCTCCAGTATGAAACTGGAGAAAAACCTGTTGAGAGTCTTTGGGTTAAGTTTAGAGGCGAGAGCAACAAGGGTGATGTCATGGTGAACGTCTGCTATAGATCATCAGACCAGAAGGAGGAAGTAGACGAGGCTTTCTTCAAACAACTAACTGAAGTTTCCCGATCAGAGGCCCTGGTTCTCATGGGGGACTTCAATCCCCCTGACATCTGCTGGGAGAGCAATACAGCGGTGCACAGACAATCCAGGAAGTTTTTGGAGAGTGTTGGGGACAACTTCCTGGTTCAAGTGCTGGAGGAACCAACTAGGGGCCATTCTCCTCTTGACCTGCTGCTCACAAACAGGGAAGAATTGGTAGGGGAAGTAGAAGTGGGTGGCAACCTGGGCAGCAGTGACCATGAGATGGTCGAGTTCAGGATCCTGACAAAAGTAGCAGAATACGGACTCTGGACTTCAGAAAAGCAGACTTGGACTCCCTCCAGGAACTGATGGGCAGGATCTCCTGGGAGGCTAATAAGAGGGGGCAAGGAGTCCAGGAGAACTGGCTGTATTTTAAAGAAGCCTTATTGAGGTTGCAGGAACAAACCATGTCGATGCGCAGAAAGAATAATAAATATGGCAGGTGACCAGCTTGGCTTAACAGAGAAATCTTTGGTGAGCTTAAACACTAAAAAGGAAGCTTACAAGAAGTGGAAACTTGGACAGATGACTAGGGAGGAGTATAAAAATATTGCTCGAGCATGCAGGGGTGTAATCAGGAAGGCCAAAGCATAACTGGAGTTGCAGCTAGCAAAGGATGTGAAGGGTAACAAGAAGGGTTTCTACAGATACATTAGCAACAAGAAGAAGGTCAGGGAAAGGGTGGGATCCTTACTGAATGGGGGAGGCCACCTAGTGACAGATGATGTGGAAGAAGCTGAAGTACTCAATGCTCTTTTGGCCTCGGTCTTCACAGACAAAGGCAGCTTCCAGACTGCTGCACTGGGCAACACAGCATGGGGAGGAGGTGAGCAGCCCTCAGTGGTGAAAGAAGAGGTTAAGGGCTATTTAGAAAAGCTGGACATGCACAAGTCCAATGGGGCCGGATGCGCTGCATCCAAGGGTGCTGAGGGAGTTGGCTGATGTGATTGCAGAGCCATTGGCCATTATCTTTGAAAACTTGTGGCGATCGGGGGAGGTCCCGGACGACTGGAAAAGGGCAAATATAGTGCTCATGTTTTAAAAAGGGAAGAAGGAGAATCCGGGCAACTACAGACCGGTCAGCCTCACCTCAGTCCCCGGAAAATCATGGAGCAGGTCCTCAAGGAATCCATTTTGAAGCACTTGGAGGAGAGGAAGGTGATCAGGAACAGTCAACATGGATTCACCAAGGGCAAGTCATGCCTGACCAACCTGACTGCCTTCTATGAGGAGATAACTGGGTCTGTGGATATGGGGAAAGCAGTGGATGTGGTACACCTTGACTTTAGCAAAGCTTTTGATACCGTCTCCCACAGTATTCTTGCCAGCAAGTAGTATGGATTGGATGAATGGACTATAAGGTGGATAGAAAGCTGGCTAGATCGTCGGGCTCAACAGGTAGTGATCAATGGCTCGATGTCTAGTTGGCAGCCGGTATCAAGCGGAGTGCCCCAGGAATCGGTCCTGAGGCCAGTTTTGTTCAACATCTTCATTAATGAGCTGGGTGATGGGATAGATTGCACCCTCAGCAAGTTTGCGGATGACACTAAGCTGGGGGGAGAGGTAGATACGCTGGAGGGTAGGGATTGGGTCCAGAGGGACCTAGACAAATTGGAGGATTGGGCCAAAAGAAATCTGATGAGGTTCAACAAGGACAAGTGCAGAGTCCTGCACTTAGGATTGAAGAATCCCATGCACCGAATGGCTAAGTGGCAGTTCTGCAGAAAAGGACCTGGGGGTTACAGTGGACGAGAAGCTGGATATGAGTCAGCAGTGTGCCCTTGTTGCCAAGAAGGCTAATGTCATTTTGGGCTGTATTAGTAGGAGCATTGCCAGCAGATCGAGGGACATGATCATTCCCCTCTATTCGGCACTGGTGAGGCCACACCTGGAGTACTGTGTCCAGTTTTGGGCCCCCCACTACAGAAGGGATGTGGACAAAGTGGAGAGAGTCCAGAGGAGGGCAACAAAAATGATTAGAGGGTTGGGGCACATGATTTACAAGGAGAGGCTGAGGAACTGGGATTGTTTAGTTTGCAGAAGAGAAGAATGAGGGGGGATTTGATAGCAGCCTTCAACTACCCGAAGGGGAGTTCCAAAGAGGATGGAGCTCAGCTGTTCTCAGTGGTGGCAGATGACAGAACAAGGAGCAATGGTCTCAAGTTGCAGTTGGGGAGGTCTAGGTTGGATATTAGGAAACACTATTTCACTAGGAGGGTGGTGAAGCACTGGAATGGGTTCCCTAGGGAGGTGGTGGAATCTCCATCCTTGGAGGTTTTTAAGGCCCGGCTTGACAAATTCCTGGCTGGGATGAATTAGCTGGGGATTGGTCCTGCTCTGAGCAGGGGGTTGGACTAGATACCTCCTGAGTTCTCCTCCAACCCTGATATTCTATGTTTCTATGATTGTATATTGGACCCTGTCCCTGGCAATGGACACCGGGGGCAGCCCATAGGGGAAGGGAGGGGGTGAAACAGAGCTGGTGGCTGAGGCAGCTGGCGAGAGCGAGGAGGAGAGAGGTGGCTGACGGCCCAAGCAGGACAGCAAACTGCAGGGAATTACAGGAACGTTGGAGGCAACATCTTCCCCTTTGCTCAGTGCAGCTGCTGAGGTGGAACAGCAGGGGGCAGTGATGCGGATGAGGGCGTGTAGCTAGGACTGATTCTGCCCCACAGGGGGGCAGCAGAACTAGCCCCACATACACACATCCAGCCAGCAGGGGTCAGTGTGGGCCTCACTCACTCAGAGGCCAGTCCATCCTCACCTTGTCCCAGTAGAGGCGGAGCTGACTTAGCCACTCGAAGGACGTCACGTCCATCAAGCTGCTCTTGTAGAGCTTTTCTATGACATCCCGCGCGTGGATTTCCACCGTCACCAGCGCGACGATCTTCAGGCGCATGATCTTGGTCAGGCTGCCCCGGATGGCCTCAGAGTATTTATTCAGCAGGGACACCTAGCGAGGAAACAGCCAGTGGTCAGACGTACGCGAGGGCGTGGAATAGTGAGCAGTGTGCACACGTGTGCAAGCACGTGAGCGTGCCCGGGAGGGCCAGTGACGGCGTGCGAATGCGTGCATGGCTAGTGCCGCGCTCTCCCCTTCACCTGCTTCTTCTTCATGACCTTGAGGAATTTCTTGTCACCTCGCTCCTTGCAGTTGGCCAGGCACTTGGTGACGTCCGTCGTCCACTGGATCTGGCTGGCAGTGATCACCATCTGCAAGAGACGAGGAGTGGGGTGGAGGGAGGGGCACTGGCAAATCCCCTCTTCCCCAGCCCCCCTGAGCTCGGTTCTGCCCATAGACCTCCAATACCCTAATCCTAGAAATGACCATTCGTCCTGGGCCCCACATCCCTCTTCCTCCGCCCGGCCTGATCACTTAGGAGTGCCTTCCCCCCAGCCTAGGGGCTCTAAGCACTTTACCCAGGGGGGTCAGGGTCACTGGATCCCTTTTACGTGGTGGAACACTGAGGCCCACGCCGGGAAAGTGACTTTCCCAGCTCTAGCAGAATGAAATCCAGGGTACGGAGCCCGGAGTTCTAATTCCCTAGTGCCTGCTCTAATGCCTAGGACCCACTCCCCAGAGCCAGTCCTGGCTCCCAGCCCCCCTCCTCTAACCACTAGCCCCCACTCCCCTCCCAGAGCCAGGACGAGAACCCAGGAGTCCTGACTCTCAATCCTCTACTCTAAATTCTGAACCCTCCTCCCCGTGTTCAACTGAGTGGCTGGGCTGAGGCTCACCAAACTCATTTCACGTATGACTTGAGTGTACCAAAGGCCTGATCCAACCCACAGCAACAGAAAGACTCCCACTGACTTCAGTGGAGCTGGATCAGGCTGTAAGCCAGTCCCTGTGGCCCAGAGGCCATCCCAAGCTGCAGGCCAAGCCGCAGCCCCCCGTGTCCTGGAGGCGCAGTAGTCACCTGTCCGGCCCACTCCTTCACCCACTTGTCCCTTTTCGTCAGCATCTTCTTCAGGGCCAGGCGGCAGTTCCGCAGCAGCTCCTTCAGGGTCAGGCGCATGGCCCGCTCCACGTCACACAGCCACTCCTGGGAGGCAGGCAGACGAGGGGCTGAGGGAACGTCTAGGGGGTTCCCCCTGCCCCCTCTTCAGGGCAATGCAACCTGATTCCTTCGCACCAACTTCATCTCCCTCGCAAAGCAGGCACCACCGACCCAGGGCCTGGCGCCGGGGGGCAGAGGGGATTTCACAGCGGAGGTCTGAAAGGGGAGAGGGGCTGGCACCCGCAGCGGGAAGGCTGCCGCAGACCCAGGAGCGGGAGTGATTTTGAATTGGATCGGACCAGAGCTGGGGAGCCAGCGGAGGTGCCCAAGGACGGGCTGGTGCATGGAGGGGGAGAGGAACCAGGATTGGGCTACCCAAAGCCCCAGCTCCCACCACCCAGAGCTGGCCCAAAGAGCCCTCACCTCCACGGGCCCTTCCAGCAGCACGGAGTGGGCGAACTCCACGTACTCCCCATCCAAGGAGTACATGCCCACGGCTTCGGACTTGTTGCCCATTCCCACCTGAGAAATGAGAAGACTCATGACCATGTCCGAGTGCCTCCCGGACTCCCGTGCTCCGGGTGAGGTGGGCATGAAGATCATAGCCCGAGGGCGGGCCAAATGGGGGGGAAGGGGTTTGGGGGCTCAAATTCAGAGGGGCTGGCAGCTGGCTGTACCAGGGCAGAAGCTGTCCCCTTCTGCTGTAACCACAAGGTCACCCTCCCCATCCAGAATCTGTTTAGACGGGTTCCCTCCTCCGGTACTGAGATGCAGTCACCTCTCGGGGTAGCTGTTTATACAGGGGTCCCTCGCTCAGTGCTGAGGTGCAGCCACTCTGCGGAGGTGCATGGCGACTGCTACCAGCTCCCCCGCATTGTTAAACAAGACACGAAGGAGAATCCCCTCTCTGGCTTTGGGGAAGCCGGATGGCACCACCCAGGTTGGGATTTAGCCAAGGCCCTGGGGTTGAATGGGGAGAAGGACCAGGGGCAGGAGGAGGCTGGGCCTGGGGCTGACTCCGGACCTTCTGGATTTTGAGGGACTTGATGTTGTCAAAGCACTTCTTGAGGTGGGGCTGGACGGCCTCGGGGTTGCGCGACTGGCCCAGGATCTCCAGCAGGTCGTCGTTGGACAGGAAGTAGAAGCGGGGGAAGATGTGGCGCTTGGTCTCCAGGTACATGTCCAGGGATTTCTGGATCTCCTCCAGGGCGCTGTTCATCTCCACCAGCTTGTCCAGGAGGCCTGGGGGGAAAGCGCCACGGGCCCCCTGACTCCTGCTGGCCCCACCCCAGCCAGGTCACATGGTCCCTCCCTTGGCCTTCAGCAGCAAGGTCAAGTCCTAGCCCGCCCTCTCCGCCCCCCAGGTTCCCCTGAACCCACCCCCTTCCATCCCTGATCCCTGCTCCCCGCCCCCATGCGGCTCCGAGTCACCCTGGCAGATCTTCGGGGGGGGAGCCCTGTTGTCTCCCGGCCTCAGCCCTAGGTGTAGTGAGTTTGATCAGCCTCAGCCCCAGACCTCAAGGTGCTGCAACCTTTCATCCTGCAACCAATGGCCTCGTTTTCCATTTGGACGAGAAAGGGGCCACAAGCAAGATCAAGCCTTTTAAAGGGGGCTCTTCTGTTTAACCGGCGACGGCCCCTCCGGAGCCCCGCACTCTGCTCCTGCAGCACATGCTAAGGACCAAGCCCCATGCTAGGGACCTGGGCTCAGCCCTGACCCAGAGGAGAATGACCCTCAACTCCACCCTCTCTCCCTGGGGCTTAGAGCCCTAGCACTCCACTGGGGTCAGCGCTGGCTGAGAGGGGAGAGCGCCCCCTACTGAGCCACCACCATGCAGCACTGAATCTCCTTTGGAGGCCTCTGAGCCAGTTACTCATAGAGTCATAGAAGATCAGGGTTGGAAGAGACCTCAGGAGGTTTCTAGTCCCACCCCCCTGCTCAAAGAAGGACCAATCCCCAACTAAATCATCCCAGCCAGGGCTTTGTCAAGCTGGGCCTTAAAAACCTCTAAGGATGGAGATTCCACCACCTCCCTAGGGATCCCATTCCAGTGCTTCACCACCCTCCTAGGGAAATAGTGTGACAAAGTGGGGGATTTTCTTGTTTTTTCTTGTTTTCGGTGGGGTTTCAGTGGTTTGCATGCAGAGGGGTGGGACTCAGTTTCCCCGGGTGTTACTGCTTTAACGAGGGGAGGGGAGAGGGAGTTTGTTGTTACAGAGGACCGGAGAGGGAATGTGGGACCCCAGCCAATGGCCTGGAGGATGGATACCCCAGCGACCGGTGACCTGAGACCCCGACCCGGAGACCCAGCTCAGGAGTTGCAGCCGGTTCTGGCCAGTGGGAGAACAATGGGCTGCAGAGTGAGGACCTAGTGACCTAACCAGCCGGTTCCAGCCAGAGGACAGAAGCGAGGAGAGGAGGCCCAGGTTTACGACCCTGTTTACCTGGAGAGAAGACAATGGACAGAGGGGGCTTGGGGCCGGGAAGCTCAGATGCCCAGCTGGGAGCAGGGGGGCTCTGGGCTGGAGAGGGGGAGCAGGCAGAGCCCACCTGGATGCAGAGAGACTGGGATGTGCTGGGCTGAGGGAGGCCAGGCCTGAGGCCCTGAGAGTTTTCTGTGCTGTGTTCAACTCTCAATAAACCCTTCTGTTTTACGCTGGCTGAGAGTCACTCCGGTCTAGAGAACAGGGTTGCATCAACCCCTTCGGGGGTGGAGGCCCGGTGGGTCCAGAGCGGGTGGACTCCCTGAGGGGGCCCACAGTGAGAAACAGGCATGCTAAGGCTCAGAGAGGTGCAGCTCCAGGAGGTGGTGGGGCCTGACCCCAAGAGAGAGTGGACCCCCGAGAAGGGCTGTCGCACTGAAAGGGGCACCCCCCACGGACCGCACAGGGCAAGGAGTGGGCACGATTTGTGAGTCCGTGACACATAGTGTTTCCTAATATCCAACCTAGACCTCCCCCACTGCAACTTGAGATCATTGCTCCTTGTTCTGTCATCTGCCACCACTGAGAACAGCCGAGCTCCATCCTCTTTGGAACCCCCCTTCAGGTAGTTGAAGGCTGCTATCAAATCCCCCCTCATTCTTCTCTTCTGCAGACTAAACAATCCCAGTTCCCTCAGCCTCTCCTCATAAGTCATGTGCTCCAGTCCCCTAACCATTTTTGTTGCCCTCCGCTGGACTCTCTCCAATTTGTCCACATCCTTCTTGTAGTGTGGGGCCCAAAACTGGATGCAACACTCCAGATGAGGCCTCACCAGTGCCGAATAGAGGGGAATAATCACGTCCCTCGATCTGCTGGCAATGCTCCTACTAATACAGCCCAATATGCCGTTGGCCTTCTTGGCAACAAGAGCACACTGCTGACTCATATCCAGCTTCTCGTCCACTGTAACCCCCAGGTCCTTTTCTGCAGAACTGCTGCTTAGCCAGTCAGTCCCCAGCCTGTAGCAGTGTATGGGATTCTTCAATCCTAAATTCAGGACTCTGCACTTGTCCTTGTTGAACCTCATCAGATTTCTTTTGGCCCAATCCTCCAATTTGTCTAGATCACTCTGGACCCTATCCCTACCCTCCCGCATATCTACCTCTGCCCCCAGCTTAGTGTCATCTGCGAACTTGCTGAGGGTGCAATCCATCCCATCACCCAGCTCATTAATGAAGATGCTGAACAAAACCAGCCCCAGAACCGACCTCTGGGGCACTCTGCTTGATACCGGCTGCCAACTAGACATCGAGCCATTGATCACTACCCGTTGAGCCCGACAATCTAGCCAGCTTTCTATCCACCTTATAGTCCTACTCCTACTGAGCAGACTCCCCTCAGGAGCTAGAGACGAGAGGAGATCACTGCTCTCGGAGGCGGCTCAGTGGCAGGAAACAGGGCCTAGGCTGGGTCCGGAGTGTAAGGTGGGAAGAGGCAGCTGACTTGTGGCTAGGGTCCGGAGAGAAGGGGAGCAGCAGCTACCTGGGAAATGCGTCCCGCGCAGCGCGTTGTTATCCTTGTTCAGTCTGTCCATGATCGTCTTCCAGCTGGCGTTGATCTGATCGAAGGAGGCCGACTCCTGGGGCAGCTGCTTCCGGATGTCTTCTCCCAGGAAGATGTTCTGTGGGGGATTGGCACCAGAGAGAGAGAATGGCCCAGCCCATCATTAGTGGGGAAGCCTGGCCCTGCGTGTGGGCCCCTCAGGGATGCTGAGCAGGGGGCTGCTCACCTCCAGGTACATCCACTGCCTCTGCACAGTCAGCACCATCTCGATCACCTCCAGGATGAGTGAGAGGCAGCGCTCCCAGCGGTCCACCTCCTTCTCAAAGGGCTTGACGAAGCGCGAGGCCTTCATGGTGGAGAGGGAGACCTGGTTATCCTCCAGCGCCTGGAACACCTCGTCAGTCCCCCTGCGGGAGCCAGGAGCAAGAGGTCAGTGGGAGGCTGAAAGGCCTGGGCTTACAACAAGCAGAGCGGCTATGGGGCACTCCCACCAATGTGCCTTTGGGGGCACGCCGCCCATGGCCCATTCTGCCCAGGGCCTCTCTGCAAATGCTGCCCACAATGGGGCTCGGTAGGATGGCAGTTCTGTCCTCAAATGATGCCCCAAACTCATCTCATGCAGGGCCACAAAAGAGACATCAGAGAGGAAGAACTTTCACTTCCCTAGAGGGGAAAGGCCCTGTGTCCCATCTGGCCAGCCAGTCCGCCCCGCCCTGGGGCCAGATGGGAGCCAGCACCCCCTAGTGGGGAAAGGCCCCGTGTCCCATTCCCTGCCCCCACCTCTTTTCCCTGCTTCCCAGGCGAGTCCCCCAGCCTGGAAGTCTGGTCTGCGCTCTTTCGTCCTAGCTGTACGAGTTGACATTTGGCTGTGTTAAAACACTCACTGTTTGCCAGCAATCCAGATCACTCCCTGGCTGTCCCTTGTTCCTAGTCCCCCTAGACTAACACCAGTTTCTCTCTCTCCCTTCAGGCACAAACACATTTTCATCACAGAGCTGAGCAAGCCAGCCACGCGCCGAGCCCTGCAGCGCCCAGGTATTAATCCAATCACGGAGGGACACCCCTGCTGCAGCCAGCAACTGTAGAGGTCAGGACGCCCTCAGCAAACTCGCTCCCTGCTAATAAAACTGGGTTAGTGAGAAAGACGGAGGGGAAATCTAAAGGCCACGGCCTGCCCTGCTGTTCTGATCTTCTGGAATGAAAGGAAGCCATGCTTAGTGGCTAGTGCAGGGACTCAGGACTGCTGGGCTGTGGAAGGGGAGTGGAGACTAGCAGTCAGAGCAAGAGGACTGGGCGTAGGACACTTGGGCTCTGTGAGGACCAGGGGAGCCTGGTCTGGTGGTTAGAATGGGAGCTGGGAGGATTCTAGTCTCAGCTTTGGGAAGGGAAGGAGGTGTTCAAGGGAGGGTCTATCTACCTGTACTCAGACAGACAGAGAAACAATTAAATAAACCAGCTTTTCCCCCTGGTAACGAGCAGGAGACCACACCCTGCCACGCTCAGCTGCTTGTCTACCCAGGAACCCTGCCCCCCACGTCTCTCCTGTCAGTGCTGCACGGCAGACCTTTGGAAGCCCTACCTGAGGCGGTGGTGTCCCTTGTCCTTGTACGGCACAATATCTAGCAGCACGACATCCCAGGTCTTGGCGATGGCTTGCAGGGCCTGGGAGAAAGACAGGGATGGACAGCATGAAATACACAGGGAAATCTTACCACGTTTGGATGATTTAGTTGGGGATTGGTCCTGCTTTGAGCAGGGGGTTGGACTAGATGACCTCCTGAGGTCCCTTCCAATCCTGATTCTATGATTGACTGGGGCTAAGGTCAGAAAGGAGAGGCCATGCATCTAATGTCAGAACTGAGCCTGGGATCTATTCCTGGTTCGGGGAAGGGAGGTAGTGGGTTAGAGCCAAGGAGGTGCGGGGGGGAAGGGGGCGTCAGGATTCCTGGGTTCCATTCCCAGATCTGAGATGGGAAGTTAGAGAGAAGGAGGGGAGCTGAGACTCCTGGGTTCTACTCCAAGCGCCAAGCAGGAACATATCTAATAGTGACTGGGAGTCAGGACTCCTGGCTCCAGATGATAGTTGGCAAATCAGTGCCAAATATGACCGTGGGTTTTGCAATGTGGACTCCTGTCCTGCTAAGATCTGGGCAGAGACATTCAACGTCTGCTCAAAAAGATCCTGTGAAATGGATGAGGAAAGAGGGACAGACAGACTCTACCAGCTCGATAGACAGCTCCTTGGAGGCCGACGCAGAGATCTCACTGATTTTCTCCACGTGTTGATCCAGGCCGAGCTCCACAATATTCTCCAGCCTGAAATCTTCAGCATCCTGGTCAAACGTCCTGAGGACCAAGTCCTTCACCTGATCCCAATGCCTGCAGGGAAGCCACCGACAGCATTAAACCAGGGAATGGACAGGCTCTCTCTGCTGATACACCAGGATCAGTTCTAACCCCTTCAGTACAGAGACTTGGCCAGCCCCAAGAAAGGAAATCAGTACGCTCTCCACCACGGAAATGGAGATGGTCAAATGGTTGGCCGCTCCGGGATAGGAAATGAAACGAGGTTGGAAGGGGCCTAATGTGGGTTGCTCCAACTGGAGAGAAGTTGAGGGAGTCGAGGCTACACTGATGTGGGCATATTCAGCGGAGACCGGGGAGCTATATCACTTGGATGGCTCTTTCAGTGACTGTGGACGGAAGAAAACCAAGGGGGAAAGCGAAGACTTGGCGGATGGCCCGGATATCAGCAGACCTCAAAAGATCAGTCTGCACTGATGTATGATCACCAACTTTGGAAGAAGGCTATAAATGTTGCTAACCTTGAACAGGGAAGTGGCAAGAAGGAAGGAAGAAGAGTTCTCAGACTCTACCCTTCAAACCCAGAGATCTCGGTTCCCAGAGCATGCAGGGAACAGCCCCCCGGCCCAGGCCCATGCACTCCCACAAGCAAAGTGAGGCGATAGAGGGGCTCGAGGGAGGCTGCATACATTTCTAGGTACTTCAGCAGCACCCAGATAAAGCCGGTGAGAGGAAATTCAAAGCCGAGCGACAGAACCAGTCCTGGGAGCGAGGCTGGGAGGGACGGGGCTAGCTCTGTGGACCAATAGAGAATGCAGTAGGCTGCACTGCCCCCAGGTGTCCAAGGGCCATTTGGAACACCACTCAGAGAGCTGGGATGAAGGCGATGCTCCAGGCTCAGTGGTCAATGGGTTATTAACCAGCGCCCATGTGTGGGCTTGTTTGAAGGGCGCCGCACGGCAGGACACTGGAAAAATAAGCTCTTCCTCCTTCCCAACCAATTCCGGCCTCTTTCCCACCGCCCCACATCCACACACCTCCCCCTGGGTGCAGGCGTGGTGTCGGGCAGTGAATCACCAGTGTTAGGGTATGTCTACACTACGAGAGTAGTTCGATTTTAGTTAAATCGAATATGTGCAATCGATATTAGAAAGTCGAACGTATGTGTCTACACTAAGGACAGTAATTCGACTTTGTCAGTCCACACTACCAGGGAAAGCGTCGACATTGGAAGCAGTGCACTGTGGGCAGCTATCCCACAGTTCCCGCAGTCCCCGCCGCCCATTGGAATTCTGGGTCGATCCTCCAATGCCTTCTGGGTAAAAAAATGTGGCGAGGGTGCTTTTGGGTAACTGTCGGCATCCGTCAGTCACTACCGCCCTCCCTCCCTCCCTCCCTGAAAGCGCCGGCGGGAAATCAGTTCGCGCACTTTTTGATCAGTGACAGCGCGGACGCCACAGCACTGCGATCATGGATCCCGCTGCGACCATCGCTGCAGTTGTGGCCGTTCTCAACACCTCGCAGCTTATCATACACCTTTCCCTGAGGCAGATGCAGAGAAATCAGGCAAGGAGGCTACGGCACCGGCGTGAGGGCCTGAAGTCGGAGAGTAGCACAGAGCTGTCAGAAACCACGAGCCCCAGCGCCCAGGACATCACTGTGGCAATGGGGCATGTGGATTTTGTTGAACGGCGATTCTGGGCCCGGGAAACAAGCACGGACTGGTGGGACCGCATAGTGCTTCAGGTCTGGGATGAATCCCAGTGGCTGCGAAACTTTCGCATGCGGAAGGGGACTTTCCTCGAACTTTGTGAGTTGCTGTCCCCTGCCCTGAAGAGCAAGGACACCCGCATGCGAGCAGCCCTGACTGTCCAGAAGCGAGTGGCCATAGCCCTCTGGAAGCTTGCAACGCCGGACAGCTACCGGTCAGTCGCGAACCACTTTGGCGTGGGCAAATCTACCGTGGGGGTTGTTGTCCTGCAAGTAGCCAAGGCAATCGTCAAGGTACTGCTGTCAAAGGTAGTGACCCTGGGAAACGCGCAGGCCATCATAGATGGCTTCGCTGCGATGGGATTCCCAAACTGCGGTGGGGCTATAGATGGGACTCACATCCCTATCCTGGGACCGGGCCACCAGGCCAGCCAGTACATCAATAGAAAGGGCTACTTTTCAATGGTGCTGCAAGCACTGGTGGACCATCGGGGACGGTTTACAAACATCTACGTCGGATGGCCGGGCAAGGTTCATGACGCTCGCGTGTTCAGGAACTCTGGTCTGTTTAGACGGCTGCAGGAAGGTATTTACTTCCCGGACCACAAGATAACTGTTGGGGATGTGGAGATGCCTACGGTGATCCTCGGGGACCCAGCCTACCCGCTAATGCCCTGGCTCATGAAGCCCTATACTGGCGCCCTGGACACTGAAAAAGAACTCTTCAACTACCGGCTGAGCAAGTGCAGAATGGTGGTGGAGTGTGCTTTTGGCCGTCTCAAGGGGAGATGGAGAAGCTTACTGACTCGCTGTGATCTCAGCGAAACCAATATCCCCATCGTTATTGCAGCTTGCTGTGTGCTCCACAATCTCTGTGAGAGCAAGGGGGAGACCTTTATGTCGGGGTGGGAGGTTGAGGCAAATAGCCTGGCTGCTGATTACGCCCAGCCAGACAGCCGGGCGATTAGAAGAGCCCAGCGGGACGCGCTGTGCATACGGGAGGCTTTGAAAGCCAGTTTCAAGGCTGAGCAGGGTACCCAGTGACTTTTAAGTTTGTGGACACAGAAGCTGAACTTGCCCCCGTTTCTTTACCCAGTTGCCGTCGACTATCCTCTCCAGTTACATACCCCCTTCACCCCCTTCCCAAAAAATAAAATCTGTTCTGTTTTGTTAATGGACACCGTTGTCTTTATTACTGTTTTCGCGGGAATGTTTTAAACCTGGGACGCAGACTGTGGCGGGGGGCGGGTTTAGTGTTGTGATGCAAATGATGCTTCTAAACTCCAGGAATGACAGGCTCCGCGGTGGTGGACTGGTTGTTTCAACGGAGCCTGCCAGCCCTCCTGGCCGGGACTGCGTGTATGTGTCGGCTATGTGACTGTCTTGCAGGGGGAGGAGGGTTACAGATCCCCTGCTGCGCGGCTCTGTGATCCAGGGTAAGGACCGCTGCATAAGATCTGTAACTGCCCTCCCCCGCCACCAAGTCACAGAGCAACACCCCCCCCCCACCACACAGAACATGAAAACCACCTCCCAGACTGACCAGGATAACTAGTCACTGCACTGTATATGTGCCCTGCTGCTGGACCTGCCCCCTGCTAAAGGTGACTGTCCTGTCCAATTACCAAGCCCCTTCCCCCCACTTCAGACAGACTCTCATCTAAAAGAAGAGGATGGAAACAATAATGAACAAAAACGTATTTTTTATTAACAACCGCACATGGAACGGGGGGGGTGAAACTTGGACGGGGTCTTGTGTGAGGCGGGTAGGAAAGGACTTTTCAAATTTTGGGGAATGAGAGCCTTCTAGTGGTAGAGCAGTCCGCAGGGGTGGAGTGAAATTTTTCACGGCCCCTTCCGCCCCTCCGTGTTTGGACTTTGGGTGAGGGGGGTATGGGACTTGGTGGCGGGGCAGGGCAGTTAGAGAGAGACTGCAGCGGGGCTCTCTCCTCCTGCCTCCGGTCCTGCAGAACATCCACAAGGCGGCGGAGCGTGTCCGTTTGCTCCCTCATTAGTCCAAGCAGCGTTTGAGTAGCCTGCCTGTCCTCCTGTCGCCACCTCTCCTCCCGTTCCATGTTTGCCCGGTGCATTTGGGACAAGTTCTCCCTCCACTGTGTCTGCTGGGCTGCCTGTGCTCGGGAGCATGCCATTAGTTCAGCAAACATGTCTTCCCGTGTCCTCTTCTTCCTCCTCCTAATGTGCGCTAGCCTCTGGGCAGATGTGGCTGTGGGAATTGGAAAAAGGGAGTGAATTCCTGAGACAGATCAATGTATCTGTGAACAGAGAACATAGTCTTTCTCTGTGAACAAGACCATGCAGAGCACCTATCACACGCGCACTGAGGACAAGGTCGAATTTTCGGCCCTCGCCTACCGTGCCTGCGGTCTTGCTGTGGCGAGCTGAGGAGCAGGGCAGGACACCGGACTTTGTCTAGATGGCAAACATGGTAAGCCGTAGGCTTGTGGCTGCTTAAAACTTTAAGAGTGGCACTGGCCTCCTTTCGCATAGAAAGCAATGCGAGTCTCTGCTGGCAGCAATCCTGCAAGCATGAACTCTGGCCCTGTCCCACCCCCTCGCGGCTGTAAACCGCGTGGCTGTAAACCGGTGGTTGCAGTTCTGTAAAGGGACGGGCAAGCAGTCCCAATACTAACTTTCCCCTACCTAATTCACAGCAGGGAGTCATGCCAGACATCACCCTCCTGAAGGTCTCGGAGAGCCAGAAGGAGCGGATGCTTCGTGACAGCCTGCAGAAACCGGGGCCATTTGCTGCAATGCTCTGCAAGGCCATGATCCCCGAGTACCTGCTGGCGTTGTGGCATGGAAACGTCTCATACCACGGGGGGCCTAACAAGCTCTCCCTGCCCAGGAACCTGCTCATGAGGCTTGAAAAACACCTGCAGGAGACCTATGAGGAGTTCTCCCCGGAGGATGTTGCCTCTATCCCCGGATACATTGACCAGTTTTTGGGTTAGGTGCCCTTGGAGGGACAGAAGAGTGCAGCGTTTTGGGCATTATAATCATGAAGCGGACATTGTGAAATTTTTTGAAAATAGACTATATATTGAAGTGTCCAAAGACAGACTAATCATGATACACTTTGCACAGATTCCCGTTTTGTTGGACTTTCCTGTTTACATGTTTTGAAGCACTTTACCCACTGTTAATATTTTAAATCTTCCTGTTTTGTTGTAAATAAATGTTTACATGTTTTAAAGCACTTTACCTATTGTTAATATTTGAAATATGCCAGTTATGTTATAAATAAATGTTTAGATATTTAAAACACTTACTGCTTGATCCTTCCCCTGAATCTGTGTCTGGGATAACGGCTGGGGAGGGTTGGTAGGGGATCTCTGTGAGGGTGATGAAGAGCTCCTGGCTGTCGGGCAAATCAGCGCTGTCGACTGCCTCGTCCTCCTCATCTCCTTCCTCCTCTTCCCCGTCCGCTGAGGAACCGGCCGCGGACAATATCCCATCCTCAGAGTCCACGGTCAGGGGTGGGGTAGTGGTGGCGGCCGCACCTAGGATGGAATGCAGTGCCTCGTAGAAACGGGATGTGTGGGGCTGGGATCCGGAGCGTCCGTTTGCCTCTTTGGTCTTCTGGTAGCCTTGTCTCAGCTCCTTGATTTTCACGCGGCACTGCGTTGCATCCCGGCTGTATCCTCTCTCTGCCATGGCTTTAGAGATCTTCTCATAGGTCTTTGCATTCCGTCTTTTGGAGCGCAGCTCGGAAAGCACGGTCTCATCTCCCCACACAGCGATGAGATCCAAGACTTCCCGATCAGTCCATGCTGGGGCCCTCTTTCTAGTCTGAGATTGCACGGCCATCTCTGCTGGAGAGCTCTGCATCGTTGCCACTGCTGCTGAGCTCGCCACGGTGTCAAAACAGAAACTGCGATTCAAACTGCCCAGACAGGAAAAGGAATTCAAATTTTCCCGGGGTGTGGCTGGTCAGGGCATCCGAGCTCGGACTGCTGTCCAGAGCGTCAACAGAGTGGTGCACTGTGGGATAGCTCCCGGAGCTATTAGCGTCGAATTCCATCCACACCTAGCCTAATTCGACATGGCCATGTCGAATTTAGCGCTACTCCTCTCGTTGGGGAGGATTACAGAAATCGATTTAAAGAGAGCTCTATGTCGAACTAAATAGCTTCGTGGTGTGGACGGGTGCAGGGTTAATTCGATATAACGGCGCTAAATTCGACATAAAAGCCTAGTGTAGACCAGGCCTTAGGTAGGAGAGGAATTCTCCCCCGCCAGCTCGCTAATGAGCGTATGTTCGTGTGGGGCTGACGAACGAGGTCAGAGTTGAGCCCCTTTGCTTTTAACTCCCCAAGGAGGTGCAAGAACCATGTGGTAACAAACCAGCTGTGCTGGCTGAGTCCTCCAAGGGAACAGACTTCATGTCTGAGCCGCACAACACCCAGAGCCAAGCACGTGGCTAGGACACCAGGAACAGTCATACGCAATCTAGCAGCTAGAGCTCCAGGGTTCTAATCCCACTCTGGGAGGGGAGTGGGGGCTCGTGGTTAGAGCAGGGGGGGCTGGGAGCCAGGACTCCTGGATTCTCTCCCTGGCTCTGGGAAGGGGAGGGGGGTCTAGTGGTTAGAGC